GGATGTCAGCTTCCCCAGCACCGTGCGACACCACAAGGTGACAATAAACTCCCCCTAAACACGCAGTTCCCTTCCCCAGCACACACACAGGCACTGCAGGACACCGCACTTTATTTGGGGTGGGGACCCCTCCCCAAAATGAGGGGACCCCCGTGTGGGGAGGGGGAGGTCATACGTCCAGGCGGCACATGGGGCTATCGTAGACCATCTGCAGGTTGACGCGGTGCCCCACGAGCTCGCGGATGTTGTTGATGCCGTATTTGATCATGGTGGGTCTGGGGGAGATGGGGGGTCAGTGGGGTGGGCCCACAGAGGGGTCCCCCCCCCAGAAGACCCCCCACTCACCGCTCCAGCGAGAGCCCCCAGGCAATGACCGAGACGTTCTCGGGGAGCCCCATGGGCAGCAGCAGCTCGGGGCGGAAGACCCCCGAGTTCCCCACCTCCACCCACTTCTTCAGCCCTGGGGAAGGGGCAAGGGGGGAAAGTGAGACCCCCATAGACCCCCTCCCCATCCTGGGGAGTGCTCAGACCCCCCTGCTCCAACGGAGACCCCTCCTCACCCTCGTGGTAGCTGAACACCTCCATGCTGGGCTCGGTGTAGGGGTTGTAGGCGGGTTTGAAGCGCAGCTGCGAGATCCCTGCGGGCACACCGGGGCTCAGGGGAGGCTCAGATGGGTCTGGGGTCCCTCCCCAGCGCCCCCCGAGTACCCAGCTTGCTGAAGAACTGCCGCAGGACGCCCATGAGGTGGCCCAGCGTGAGCCCCCGGTCGGCCACCAGCCCCTCCACCTGGTGGAACTCAGCCAGGTGCGTCGCGTCCAGGCTCTCGTTGCGGAACACGCGGTCGATGGAGAAATATTTCACGGGGCTGAACTTCTCCTGGGGGGCAGAACAGAGGGGTGAGGGGGCAGGTGGGACCCCCATACTGCCCCAGAACTGCTGCGATCCCCCTCAGATTGTTCCAGTCTTTCTGAACCCCCCAAACAATGCTGAGCCTCCTACACTGCTCTGAGCACCCCAAATTCCACTGGCACCCCAAATCCCACTA